TTGACACAGTTTGTGAAACAACGCTTTTCGTGGCCAATTTTGTGCAATCTTTCAATTTTTGCCCCTTTTACCTCGCTTTCGAAAGCTTTCGAATGAGTTTCTTCTTTCAAAGTCCCATGTACATTTCGCTGATGCCAAGGTTTACGCTTAACATAACACAAGCATATATGTCTAAATATATTTACACTAAAATATTACTGAAATATTTATGGTAGATATTACTTTTTTGTTTCTATGCATTCGCTGATTTAGAAACAAGCTTCTTCGTTAAGTCTGTCACAGAACTCACTCACTAGAATAAAATAACGTGTTTGCTAAGACATGCAAGTTATATTGTTTGGCTCCTGTCGGAGAAGTCATTAGGCGCACGACCAAACTTGTTCCCCACGCCACAAGTGACACGGCCGCACCCTCTGAGTATGTATGGGTGCGCATACTATTTCCTTGTTCAACCATGACAGATCTATGTACTCCTCAGTGTAATGTCATATAATTTAGTCTGTATTAGAATTAATCTCTTTGGGTCAAATTAAGGGGTGCGATATATTCGATTAGATTTAGTACTTTTTGTTCAATTATGTCTGGTGTTCCTATTATTTCTGTTGTCCCTATCGATTATCGACACTAAGCCGTTCTCTAGTATGCTCATGGACTGATTCAGGCTCAAACAAGAGTTTCGTTTGATTTTTCATTTTAGATCTTTATGAGAATTAAAAAAATGAAGCTACAATAGGACTTTGTGAGGACAACTAATTTGAGGAATACTAAAACCTCAACTCCTTAATTTCATATTTTCTGGTATAAAATTGATTGGGATGAAAAATAAATTAAGACAATTCATAATCGAAGGACCTTAAGCCCTGTAGGGTTCCTTAGATTTTTGCTATTCCCAAGTACTCTAAAGACGAATTTCTTCAATTGACAATTTTGTTGTGCCATTTATCTTCAAATATATATAGTCCTTCAATTCAACTTGTTGAAGCAAATTATCACCTTGTTATTAGTGGCATATTTTATTTAAAGGAATTTTTCCACCTCAATTTGGACCTATTTCTAACCTTTAGCAAAGATTTGCCGTACATACTTTGAATGAAATCCCGTAGTATTTAAATGTTTCTTATCACATGCAATACGAAAGTAAATTTTTTTCCAATATTTCAGGTCGGCTTTATTTTAGATTCATTATGTATTTAAAAATAATATGAATTGGAAAGTGAAAAAAGCAGTTCGTCAATTCTCGTCTTCATTGGATTTGCTCATTGCCATTCATTCTTACGCATCCATGAAAATATTGTTTTAAACCTACAAGGTAAGATGAAATTCAAACAAATTTCAATGTCCTTATTGATCTGATTTATGATTTACCAGATCTACTATAGACAATAATCTCGTTTCTTTGGCATATAAGGATTTCCAAACATCCGTGCTGATTTGACGGTTTTTCTTGAAAAAATCGATTATGCCATTTAACTTTAAGGAGAAATTGTGTTGGACGATAGTCATAAACAAAATAAAATATTTTAAAGTTTATATGAAATAAAGTTTTATTTGCTAATAAAGTTGCATGTTTACCATTATAGGAAAATCAATTAGAAGTGAGTAAATTGGCAAGTTTTAGAAAATATCTTCATATTTAAATTTAGCCGATGTAAACCACAACATCCAGATACAACTTTTATCGAAAGCATAACTCACCAATCTAATTAATGTAGGCATTTGATTTCATGTGCACTGAGATAAATCCTGGATGGACAAACGTGTTACTAAGCCACTTATATAGGTTCTGTTAATTCGCGGAGCATTTTACGTAAAAAACTTTTCTTCAAAGCTTGTAATAGTACGTAATTACGGCTACATACTGGTGATTAAACCTCTATCATTCAAGTTCGTCATTAACATGGATGAGATAGTGACGGTTATGATTTCCTTTCAAAGTTTAGTAATCATTTAAATGAGCTAAATGCGGTTAATTTGTATCGTTGAGCTATAAAGGATTATCGTATTTTCCGGCAAGCGCCCTTAATACATTTGGCAGCCAAATTAGCCTAAATAATGAAATCGCTTATATCGGTTTGAATGCTTGTATATGCCAC